GACGGGAAATGTTCACACTTTATTTCACGCACACTGACATGGATATGGTGAAACTAAAAATAACAAAATAATGAAATATAAATACCAAACTAATTATACAAAATACACAAATATAACATAAATTGAATACAAATATAAAAAGAAATAATAAATTAATTATAAGAAACGGAAATGTTGTGCAAATGATTAACAATAGAATTGAATACAATACGTACAGAGAAATGTGGCTTTCTCGTCCAGTGTTGATCCACAAATTTTGCCTACTAAAACTTCAGACTCGGCGACCTGAGCCTTCGCTCGTCAAATACAACGTGGCCGCGCCCAGAACTGCTGCATACAGTATATATACAGAGTAAATGATTTGCATAATAATACAAAGCTGACTAGTGATACGATTGTAAACGCAAATTGTTGTCATAAGCGACAACATATATATATATATATATATATATATATATATATATATATATATGTGTATATATATATATATATATATATATATATATATATATACTCCGTTTATATTACCCTAGGATCGAATGACCCGGATAATCAACAGTGGGTTAGGAACTATGCTCTAGAATACAGTGAGAATGGCGTAAACTGGACACAGTATGAAAATGGAACACAGGTGAGATGTTGCCTGAATGTAGGTGGTGGTTAATGAGTGGTGTAACGAAACTAAGGGTCCGTGTGGCAGAAAGTTCGTCTCCAATTACTTATGATGGTCAGGATGGTTCTTTTATATTGAAATATAAATGTCCAATTTTCAAATTATGTTGAAAAAAATGAAATATTTTCTTTCAGTTGACTGGTAATTCAAATTTCAATGCAGTCGTTCTAAACACACTGACATATCCGATCCTAGCGCAGTATGTGCGGATGTATCCTTCTAGGTCGACATGTGAAAACAATTGCAGTCTCCGCCTTGAGTTGAACGGCTGCAAGTACAGCAGTTTTGACCGTAAGTATGTTTTTGTACATTAAAACACTGAATGTGTTGACTTAACTTACTTGTTGTCTGACCATATGCTTAAGTTGAATACTTTACATAAACTGGTGCGTACATAAACGTAGACTGCGATATATATATCGACACTGGTGCTGGATTCTTGGTAATATCAAAGTATAAAGTTGCTTTGCATGTCACTTCGAATAAACCAACGCTGTTAATATTTCATAACCATGGTGTTGCCATTTTCTATACTAATAGTACCCATTTGTTGTAGAATTTGCAGGCCTTCATCTTAAACGTATTGTATTGTATATAGGCTTAAGCGCCCAATCTATTTTTTCTCAAGAAAAAAGCAGTTTATCTCCCTGGTATTTCAGAATTCATTATCGACATCCAGTATTTTTGATTGAGTTTTTCAATCGTTTTCGTTAATAGTTTTGTGGAATATCTAGACACAACAAATATAACTTCGGAATATTTATAAAGTTTACAAAGTTTACGGACATCTAAATCGTTTTCAGACTCTCTGCAGTATGTTGGGTGTGTCATAGAAACTACAGATCCCAATGGACAAGTTATGGTCCACAGCGCTTCAACGAGCTGCCAGTTGCCGTCGGATTGTATAGATCTGTGCAGGACGGCGGGGTTCTTGTATGCTGGCCTACAGGGAGGTGAGATTTCGTATGGATTGCGTTCTGTCTCAGCTAGTGCAATGCCATACCGTTAACTAACCTTGTTGACTGGTGTTGCCAGCGTGCTGTAAATTGAAAAAAGGAAAACGCTGGCAGATCCAGGGTTTTCCAAGAGGGGGGGGGGGAGGTAGGGGTAAAATTTGACATAAACATATATTTAAGTAGACGAGAACAATTGCACTGTAAAACATAATGTAATGTATACATGTATTGCTTGGTTTTGTCTCGTTACGATTAGGATTTTCTCTTGTTTGGGATATTGTGTAGCAGACTTCCTCTTAATGGTGCTAGGATGGGCAAAGCACGCATATATAAATATCAAAATGGGGAGAGTGTGGAGGGATGAGTGGTGAGGTGGGGGTGGGCGATTTTCCACTTCCATCTGCGTTCTTGCACTGTTAAAGCGCTACGTTTAAAAGATAGGCTTGTATGTTGGAGGAAATCATCCAGGTATTGGAAAATCACTAAAATAAAGCAATTTCGTATAACCATATTAAAATAAATAATCAACCAGACTTTGCAATGCTATTTCAGTACAGACCTTATCTATAATCGTCTTGGCAAAACTCACAACGTGTCAAATTTCAAATTCATCCTCACCTGAAACATAAATTTATATGCCACATAACGGTAACCACTTATTTGAATGATGCATATACTTTTCTGTCGACAGCCAACTGCAGCTGTGCAAATGAAATTAGAACATACGGGTATGCAGCAAGTTCTCATTGCGACATAGTGTGTACAGGCGATTCCAAACAGCGTTGTGGCGGAGACAATCGATACTCAGTGTGGCGAACTTGGGGTAATAATACACAAAATGCTTAAGTCTTTATATATCAAAAATTATTTTAAAAAAGCCCTGTTCACACTCTACTTAGCACCATTTATCACCCACGGATTAGAAAAAGGTCATTTTTTGCCATTAAGTGTTATGGTTCATGTCTTTTTTTTTCGAATTCACATTATGACCTAAATCATTTTAGGGATACTTTCTCAAATTTTATACATACATGTTAATAAGTCAAATGTGTCCAAACGTATTTTCTAACCCATGTGTCTTCAGTACAGATATGTGTATTTTCACCATTGCCAGAGGTTCGTTGTCCCGAAGTGCCCTCTGTCGGCAACGCAACCGCGTCCAGTACGAGCCGCAACCACAACTCGCAGGTGACTTATTCTTGCCTACCTGGCTACGTTTGGCCAACTGGAACCCTAGAGGCAGAGAAAACGATTACTTGTACGTTTAACAACTGGACTGCGCCTCCACCCGATTGTGAAGGTTAGTGAACATTTATTCTCATTTGTTCCAATAATAATCATGTAGTCGCATTATTTAGTTAATAGTCTTAACTTTGTTTAGATATGTTAAACGTGAGACGCTTTCTTAACGCAGTGTTGTTTTTATAACGAATAATTCGTAGTATGTAGGCTACAAAATGTTCCTAAATGTTTGTAGTTTTTGATTTGAGGTACTGTAGCCCAAAGCTTTAATTCGTATTTTCGAGGTTTTTCTCTCGAAGTGAGCAATACTTATATCAGTAGTTTATCAGGATACAGTAGTCCAAGTGCCCCCCCCCCCCAAATCTAAATTTGGAGGCAATCCCTTCTTCCCTTTCTCCCGCTCCCATAATAATAATAATAATAATAATAATAATAATAATAATAATAAAGATAATAAAATCCAAATAAGTTCAATATAGTAAACAATGTAAAATTTGAATTAAAGAAATGCATACAATTTTTCTGTTCAGCCATCCACTGTACGTCCGCTCTCCCGACAGCGGCCAACACCACGCTCAGCGTCGTTGGGGATGACGAGGTGGGCGCTGTGGCGACCTACTCGTGTCTACAGCACTACCAATTCCCTGGCGGTTCTACGACGAAGACGGTGTCCTGTTTGACCACGGGTCAGTGGTCCGCTGCCTCAGTGTCCGCATGTGAAAGTAAGTTCCACACAGTTTTGAAATGTGCTGTATTTTTTTTTTTTTTTATTTATTTCAAGTTTTGTTTGCCTTGGATGATTTTGATTTTAATGTGCCAGCTTTACTAACTGCATGTTAAAATAATTTTCACAGTTTCACAACTGGATTTTTTTTACTTTGATTTTAGTACATTGCTGTTTTGCGGGTTCTTTGTGGTTTTGTCACAGCTCACTGATCACACTTTTGCGACTTATCAAGAATTCCAATTGTTTCGCTCTGTATCATCATCGCTTCTACTTTTTTCCTAAGCAATATAGCTGGTCTAATCCTTGGTAACTATTGGTTATGGTGTATTTTCACATTTGGAACCTCTTCACCCTACAATTTTCACCCGATTCAACAACACCAATACAACGCTGGAAAAGATATGACACATATTCATTGTGAATAACAACCAAATTAAATAAAGCACCATAGCACTGCTGTATTTTAGCCTTTCCTTTCGTTTTGCTACAGTGATCTTGTGCCCAGCAATATCAAGCAGCCTGGTCAATGCGATGGTTAACTCCACTGACCGCGAGGTGGGGTCAGCTGTGGAGTACCAGTGCACCAACAATGCCACCTTCGGGGACGGAGGTACCAAGAGAGTGCGGCTGTGCTTGGACAGTGGGCAGTGGGATGGAGTGGAAGAGGACTGTGGTAAGGTTTTTGGTCGCCAATTTGAAACTGGTGGCCATTTTGGATATTTCGAAGAAGGTTTTCATGTTCAGTTTCTGATATCACATAGTGATAAAGATATAGTGTAGTTGTCGCTGTCTAACTTAGTGCTGTGCTTATTCATCGTGGCGGGTGATAATAGATTTTCACCATTCCCAGCGTAATCCCGCATTGTAGCACTGTAACCATGGTAAACAACATGTGTGAACAACGATGGGAATGGATATACATACTGCATTGGTACATGTACATGGTAATCACTAAGTTAAGCCCTACGTCACACAGATATTGCAAACGCGCATTTTTTATTGCAATTGGCATGTGTGTGACGCATCACTTGGCATTTTTGAGATAATTAAAAAGAACATTTCAGCGTAGACACGTTTATCTCGTGTCCTCCTTGAAATAAAAGTACAAGGTAAGTCATTCTTTGCACTGAATAATTTTCAGTAACTTCAATATTCTTCTTATTTTTTTTATGCCATGATTTATTTGTCCATATATCTTTTTTGCGTTCTTATCCAAATATTTCTCCTTTTATCCTTACTTTTTCATCTTTTTATGGATGGGTTCAATTATTTATTAAATATGGTGAAGTGTTGAATTGCATGAAAGAATGGTTCAAAGAATACACAGATGTATGTTATAGAGACCAATTGTAGGTACCGTTGGATGTCTTGCGTGATTGTGTGATTCTTTTCATGTCATAATGTTAATGTTCGGTGCTAGACTACGTGTAGAGCCCAAAAGCATTTTGACGTGTATGTGACGTTTGGGCAGAGTGTGACGTTTGTACAGACTGTGTCGTGTGTGTGACGTTTGTATTGTGTCGTGTATGTGACGTTTGTATAGACTGTGGCGTTTGTAGAAACTGACGTGTACGTGACGTTTGTACAGGCTGTGACGTGTATGTGACGTTTGTACAGGTTGTGACGTGTATGTGACGTTTGTACAGGTTGTGACGTGTGTGTGACGTTTGTACAGGATGTGACGTTTATGTGACGTTTGTATAGACTGCGGCGTGGGTGGATGTTCAGATTGTGTGGGGAAAACGTCTACTTGTGTCACAGATGGAAATAAAAAAAACAAAAACAGAAGAAAAACAGACAAACTATCGCTATTTTGACAAAAGCATTTATACTGAAACGTACATTTAGAAAGAAAACTTTTTAGTAATGCATACCCTCATATTGTGGCATTGGTACCATTACTAAGAAAAATCTATTTCTAAGCAAAATGCTGCCGGCTGAAAAAGACTGGAGACATGTTAGAAGTTTATCACCATTTCTCTTTTCCAGTGAACTTATCAGAATATTGATTACTAACTTTGACCACATGAACAAACATATTTTGGCAAAATCAAAAAAAAAAATCTTACATCGTTCTATGAACAAAATTGATTTAATTGCTTTTTTAAAGCTGTTGAAATGATATTTTGTAGCATTATATAAAACCCTGTATAATTCCAGTAAGCAAATAACGGGGGTAATCTTAAGCATATTACATACAAAGTTTAAGATGTTTCATCATTACAAAAGTTAATACCTTTAAGCAAAAACGGATCTCTATAAATTTCGATGATAAATAAGTTCGATCATTTGCGTACTGGGCTTTCCTTTGTATCAAGTGTAAACATCAGGGTGGACAGTGGTTATTTGTTTGGGGGAGGGGGGTAAGAGAGGGGTACTTTCCAGATGCTGCTTGCTTGCTGACCCCGGCAACGACCTGCGAGGCCAGTTTATCCGTCAGAGGGTCAGAGTTGTGAGTCATGTCCATCCCAGCAGTGGTTTTGCAGATCACACCTGGAAAGATGACTAAGTATATATGGATGACGAATTTAACGAGACCTTATTGGTACACCTTGATAATTATAATGTCTTGACATAAGCCATGACAGGGTACAATCAATTATGCATGTACAGGAATGGTAGTGCTAGGAATGGAAGTCCGGGTTCACATATGGTTAGTACAGATAAGGGTTAGTCGGATTTCTTTGGTTAGTATACATGTATGAGATGAATGTCACCTGTACAAAGTAATGGAAACGGACTACGGTTCCTTGCGGACTAATGGTATCATTCCTGTCACACCGGTAAAGGCCACTGCGGTTTGGTATTATCTATAGCAGCAAACGCACTACAAGGACCAATAAAATGGAGAATTATTCTAAGAAACGATCAAAAAAATCCAGGAGCTAAGGATAAGCTCGCCAGGACTTAAGTACTGTTGACTCAACAGAAAAGAAAGACCGATTACTGCTGTTGGGTGTTATTCCATTGTGTTACTACTGTACAGCAGCAGAACAATGCGAAGCGTTGTCATCGCCATTGACATACCCGGTTAAACGTCATATATATATATATATATATATATATATATATATATATATATATATATATATATATATATTTGATTTTATGCTTGACAGTAGTCAGTAGTACACTTTCCCAAATCCAAGTCATGGATAGCAAAGGAGGTTTTATACTTCAGAAACTTGTGCTGGACATGTTTTGAAAGCATCAATATTGTCTTCAAGTGTGACATATTGTGGTACAAAAATTAAAAGATAAAGCTAAAATGCACATGTAAAGATTGACTAAAACTAGGTATAAAACGTCGAAGCTCTAGGAGTATGAGCCTTCTTAATTCAGAGACTGTTGAAGAAATTGCAAAGGGAAGAACTACGTGATAAATTCGTTACACGAGACAGACTCTAAGATATCGTGATCTGTTTTAGTCGGGATAAGTTAAATGTGTGTGCAATAACCATGGAGAAATAGAGCTCAATTAGTGAATATATGTAATAGAAACACAAGTAAGAAAAATTATGTTTATTTTTTGAACCACCAGTAATGGACATAACCCATGACAGGGTTATTTCCATTACGTTAACAGAAACTTATTATACCTTTTGTGTCTGTTATTATTGCTGCATTATCTAATTATCTAATTTACTCGCATCCGCTTTGTTAATATACACTTAAGGAAAAAGGAAACACAACACTCAGTTTTGGGAATTTTGGGAGGGATGAATAATTTTATTTTTGAGATCCGCCAGATTTATATGAACCCTACATCCATTTCTAATCCTAAGGCCAACTTTTTCGGCGTTTACACATTTCTGAGTCCAATAACACAACCAAACACTAGAGCACCCCCCCCCCCCCCCAAAACCAAAAGTGACAGGAATTGCATCATACTGTCAATAGTCCGGACTTAAATCCCATTGAAAATGTATGGGATCTGCTCAGTTTGCGTGTCCGCCGACGTGAACATCCTCCCGAAACTCAGCAGCGAAACTTAACAGAGGGCGGCACTGGTGGAAGAATGGGCGGCGATTCCACCATATCAACTCAGACACTACTGCCGATCCATGAGGAGACGAATAACTGCTGTCCAGGACGCCAACGGGGGTCACGTGAACTATTGACAGTATGATGCAATTCCTGTCACTTTTGGTTTGGGGGGTGTTCTATTGTTCGGTTGTGTTATTGGATTCAAAAATGTGTAAACGCCAAAAAAGTTGGCCTGAGGATTAGAGATGGATGTAGGGTTCATATAAAACTGGCGGATCTCAAAAATAAAATTATTTTGCCCCAAAAACCTCTCATAACCGAGCGTTGCGTTTCTTTTTTCCCTGAATATATATACAGTATATCAAGATCGAGCTGGCGATACCGGAATCTAGAACGTAGGGTAGAGTGAGTCAGCTTCATTGTGATTGACAAACTTATCCACTGTAATAAAGCTTTTTTGGTACTGATTTATAAGGAACTTCCTGGTGTTTTTCATGGCAATAATAATAATAATAAAATCATATTAATCAAGAGCTTCAAATAAAAATATAATACAGTTTACTGTCTAAATTACTCCTGTTTTTGTTTTTCCAAGCATGCATATTTAATTACCAGTGCATCGATTTTTGTCTCAGTGATGCATCGATATATTTTCTCACGACGTTTGTTTTTCATCACAGTACGTGTTTCCAGAATATCTACTCTCTCCTTTTGGGTCATCTTTGGACCCGATGCGATCTGTAGAAACATATATTTTAAGATCGTGCAATAAAAGAGGAGAAGGTGAGCGGCAAAGCAACACCGCAGAAAGCTCAACGAATATCCAACTAAATGTGAAGCTTAACTGGTGTCATGTACCAGAAAGTCCCCCGTGACAGACAGTCCGCTTCCCATTCATTTGTACAGGTGAGACTCGCCCTAGATTTTGACCCACTTAGGTCAAGCTAACCCTAACCATTATAACTATATGGAGGGCGGACTTTCTGTCACACTGACCCACAATTTCATGACACTGGGCCTTCAATCGATCCATTCATTACACGTTAGCTGTAGACTTGATCCATACACATAACAACGACTTTTATGGATTGTAATAATGGACTGACTGAAGCCTTCGATTTTATGGAAGTGTCACCTTCTGTTGCTAGAGTTTTTGTTGTTTGTGATTTATTATTGTGTATGGAGCAAGTATAAACATAAATACTGTAGAAAAGACTGAAATAAATTTATGTACGGTATATATACTTAATATATCTCATCGTGAAGTAAAATTATGTGTGGAATGTTCAGTTGTCACATAGTGGGAAATTAAAACAATGACCAAGTTTTGCCGATGAAGGTGTGAAGTAATATTTTAGCAGGTCTTTCATCCCCCTTTCTTTATTTCATTTATTTGTTTGTTTGTTTGTTTTAAAAGTTATTCTCAAAGAAGTTGGAAAATATCTGAAAATATATAATAAGTTAGGAAGTAAATTAGAGAAAGACGCTTTTGAAAACTGTTTATGTATGTTTGTTTTCACAATTCTATCCGATGAATTTTAGTGTCAATAACTATTACATAAGTGTCGTCACGCCGTGTAGATAAACGGCTAAGACGCCATTTTCAAATAAACACCTCCTGACGATCTGGCATGCCTTCTGGGTATATGACCGTGAAACTCAGAGTTGGGGTTGATACATGTCTCGTGTTTTTATTTATTTATTAATTTTAGGACGTTTGGTTTTAATTTTGGCAAGGCGTCAAACGACTGTCAGAGACGATGTAATGAAGGCCTTCTCAGACAAAGAGTATTTAAGACCGAAAATTGGACAGACTCACATTTCCTAAGGAAGACATTAGGGACACATTACACTACATACTGGAAATTCCAATTCTTGTGACCATTACTCAAGCGTTCTATCTGCAGACGTGATATATTCCCATTTTCGGTCCAAAGAATTTCTAGTCTAACGATATCAGGCAGTTTGCATTAAAAATAATACATGAAAAAAACAGCCTTGGGTAGATCAATTTGGCTTTGATATTTTTTCAGGATAACGATTTCCCACTAAACAAAACGACATAAATGCAGACTATCAATTAGAAGGAACAATTATCGCTTTTTGAAGATAAAGAAACGTCGATGCGGCTTTTTGGGCAAATGTTCGATCGAACCAGCATGAGTCCTTGGCGTCATTTAAGTCGATAAAAAACAGCCAAATATAACAACCAAATTACTTTAACAGACGAAACTTACGTTTATGCACCGCTTTTGAAGGACAGTACTTGGAAGAATAGGTTCTCAATCAAGGGTAAGATACATTTTATTATTATTATTTTTTTTTTTTTTTTTGATAGATTGATTATTTAATAAATGAAAACCAAAAATTGTTTGTATAATTGTTCTTATACACGGCCTTTTTATATATCAAATGCAGGCAAAATGATTTAGAAATAATTAATTATTTCACAGACATACATGTACGTATTGCTTTAGATAACGTGAAAAATGCAAAGAAACCACACCTGTCTGTACTTAGCTGCATTGAAATGACATGCGAGTTCTTAAATGTCTGAATTCTTACATGTATTTCTCACTTCCACACTCCAACCAGTGATGTGTGATACTGTACTGTATTAAGGTAGATCGGTCGTTACATGTTCCAACGTTCGAATTTTTTTTAATTTTTTTTTGTTTGAAGAGACACCCAAGTACATTAAAAATTTGCAAAAAAAATTGGGGGTCACCGACCAAATAAGAGAACTAGCCCCAAATATGATACACCCTGCATATCGCACTAGTCCCTATTCAAATCAATGGGAAAATGGGTGTTTTCTCACTAAAGCATTATTTTTTATGACTTTCTGACGTTCGAATTTTTTAAA